CAAACAAACAAACAAACAAACAAACAAACAAACAAACAAACAAACAAACAAACAAACAAACAAACAAACAAACAAACAAACAAACAAACAAACAAACAAACAAACAAACAAACAAACAAACAAACAAACAAACAAACAAACAAACAAACAAACAAACAAACAAACAAACAAACAAACAAACAAACAAACAAACAAACAAACAAACAAACAAACAAACAAACAAACAAACAAACAAACAAACAAACAAACAAACAAACAAACAAACAAACAAACAAACAAACAAACAAACAAACAAACAAACAAACAAACAAACAAACAAACAAACAAACAAACAAACAAACAAACAAACAAACAAACAAACAAACAAACAAACAAACAAACAAACAAACAAACAAACAAACAAACAAACAAACAAACAAACAAACAAACAAACAAACAAACAAACAAACAAACAAACAAACAAACAAACAAACAAACAAACAAACAAACAAACAAACAAACAAACAAACAAACAAACAAACAAACAAACAAACAAACAAACAAACAAACAAACAAACAAACAAACAAACAAACAAACAAACAAACAAACAAACAAACAAACAAACAAACAAACAAACAAACAAACAAACAAACAAACAAACAAACAAACAAACAAACAAACAAACAAACAAACAAACAAACAAACAAACAAACAAACAAACAAACAAACAAACAAACAAACAAACAAACAAACAAACAAACAAACAAACAAACAAACAAACAAACAAACAAACAAACAAACAAACAAACAAACAAACAAACCCTGAGTGCTCACTGGAAGGACAGATCCTGAAACTGAGGCTCCAATACTTTGGCCATCTCATGAGAAGAGACTCCCTGGAAAAGACCCTGATGTTGGGAAATTGTAAAAGCAAGAGGAGAAGGGGACGACCGAGGATGAGATGGTTGGACATCATCATCAAATCTACTAACATGAATTTGACCCAACTCCAGGAAGCCATGGAAGACAGGAGGGTCTGGCGTGCTCTGGTCCATGGGGTCACGAAGAGTCAGACAGGTCTTAATGACTAAACAACAACAACAAGCTCTTTTCACCTGAAATTGATCTCACTATCCCCATTTGGTTCACACATTCTGATGTTGCTGGAGTGCTGTCAGGTTAAACAAAGGGCAAGAAGTGGCCTAAAACTAGTTATTTGTGCTTAACACAGTATGGCCTATTCTCAGCCACACTAAAGGTGACAGAGTGGGGTGGAGTTTATTAGCTTGCAGCGGTATTCTATTCAATTTAAATTAAATAGAGCAAAAGTTCAACAACAATGAAACAAGTCACAGATTAAATGTATCTTTCCTTCACCTAGCAAGCAGAGGGAGGAGGCCACCACCACCACCACCACCAGAAATATTTGAAGATTTTGCTGTTGTCAAGTATTCATGTGGGAGAAGACATAAGAAGCGAAACTTCCTAAGACCTCGGATTGTAGGGGGATCTTCTTCCTTGCCAGGATCTCATCCGTGGCTGGCCTCCATATACATTGGAGAGAGTTTCTGTGCTGGAAGCCTTATTCGTTCTTGTTGGATAGTGACATCTGCACATTGTTTCGCTAACAGGTGAGGCCAGCATTTGATATCATATAAAATCTATTGTATGTGCTCTCAAATTGTGTTTTTCCAGTAAGCCCATTTTTAAATGATCTTCATGAATGGGTGTTAAATTAATTAAGATCCAAGAAGTCCAAATACTTAGAAAATCTACCCCAGTGCTGGAGCAACCTTTTCATATGGAAGGCTGCTGATCTATGGAAAATGTTAAATAATGGCTGTAACCAACAGGTGGGTGAAGCCAGACTCACAGACGTGCAAAGCCATTCCAGCCAGACACATTTTGTCATCCCTGCTATCTATTGATTCCTCTGATTCTTTCTGCCAAGCCATGTCCCCTTCTGCTGCTTCTACATTGACGCGGCACGTGGAGCTGCACTTCCATAGAGGACTCTGAGACAAGCCTCCTCCCTTCCAAAAAGAGGGAATGCTGAGCTTGCGCTTATCTAATGATGAGTGCTCCAACTCTCCAACTGAGTGCTCCAACTCTCCTAAAGCACCTTTAGGAAGCAGAACCTAACACAGGACTGAGGGTGGCCTTCCCACAGTCTTCCATGGATCAGACGACATTATGAACTATGGGCACATGAAGAGGAGGGTGCCATCAGGTTTGTGGCTGAAGAGCTGGCTGGAGACTTCCTACTCAGGGCTTCAATGGAAAACCCAGAGTGTACTCCTCTTTTGCCTTCCCTGCCTTGGGAAGGGTTGTGTGCGTATCCAATGGAAGGATAACCAGCCAAAGAAGAAAGCTAATTACTGTACTCTCACCTTATGTATAAGAGTTAATCACACAGTTAGCCAGAGAAATTCATATCAGGAGAGAGTTGGCTCCATTTCAGAAAAATTTATTTAGAATAAAAATAAGAATGGGACCAGTGTGACAGAATCACACCCTATATCAAACCAAGGAAACCTGTAAGATAATGCTGGGTCATTGTCTGCATTGATTTCCCAGAGGCATGATTATGACAAATGAACCTAAGGACACCTAGTGAAGGCCCTGAACATTCAAGACAACCAATTTCTAAAAAATGTAATTCCTCCTTCAGGTCCTATGATTTAATTATATCTAATCTAAGTATATATGCTATGATCGTAATGATTATTCTTTCATTTTTTAAAAAAGCCAGTGTGTGCCCACCCACCTAGGACACGTGATACCTCTCATTTGTGATTTTTAGTTTATACCAGAGAACACTGAGCCAGGTCTCTCCAGAACTTAAAGGGCCACATTGTTCACCACTTTGATTTCTGCAAAATGGCAGCAGATGTGCCACCAAATACTTTATTTGCTATTTTGGTATCTTCCAACTAAAGTCTAAATCCCACCAGGAAAAGAAGAAACACCATGCTTTTCACATTAGAGAGAAACAACTGGAAAAAGCCAGTTCATATCCCCGCTTGAGTAGTTCACTGTTGATCTAATTTTCTCTTCATCACTGAAAATATTTTGAAGGCACTCCAATGTCCATGTTCCCACTCTAAGAATCACTCTAGGTGTGCACTGGAAAGATTATGCCATTTATACTCCAAGTAATAACTTAATATACAATTTGACTTCTATTTGAGCAAAATACATGAGATGAGACATGTTGCAAATAGAAACATTAGGAGGTGATAAATTGTTTCCCCAACACAGACGCATACTCCCAAGCTCCCATGTTCCCACAATAAACCTGAAAGAGAAACCCTCTTATTTTCTGCCCAGCAACTAATTACCAAACAAAAGCATATTAATTTCCAATTTGCAAAACTCAGGAACAACATCAGAGGTTCAGAGGTTCTTTACTGCTCAGGTTAATTCTGCTTCTGTTTGTAAAGCTCCCCATCTCATGTATTTTGGGTCTCAGTTTGCATGCTTTGAAAAGTTATCTACCTATGGGGAGGAAATCCACTTTGATGCGGCAGTGGGGAAAAAGTGAACACCATATTGACCTGTCAGGAATTTTTTGGTTTGGGAATCTGGGCCATATTTATAGCTGAGGAGAAGGTGACCCAGTGTCCCCTTTCTATCCCAGAGCAAAATTCCATATTCCTCTATTCACTGCCACCAGCCTTCCCTTCAAACAGAATTTGTTCCCCTCAGGCATCTTTTCTCTAGACTAAAGAGCCCCAAACACCGTAGCTTTTCCTCATAATGGAGGTGCCCCAGCCCAGTCATCATTTTAGTCACTCTCTTCTGCACATTTTCTAGTTCCATCGTGTCTTTTTTGAGGTGCTGCAACCAGGTGCAGCCTTACCAGCATTTTGTACAAGGGCATTATAATGCTGGTTGGTTTTTTTTTTTCAACCCCCCTTTTAATGATACCTAGCATGGAATCATTATGGACTAAGGTTTGCATAGTCAAAGCTATGGTTTTTCCAGTAGTGTTGTATGGATGTGAGAGCTGGACCGTAAAGAAAGCTGACCGCTGAAGAATTGATGCTTTTGAGTTGTGGTGCTGTAGGTAACTCTTGAGAGTTCCCTGGACTGCAAAGAGAACAAACCTATCAATTCTAAAGGAAATCAAGCCTGAGTGCTCACTGGAAGGACAGATCCTGAAGCTGAAGCTCCAATACTTTGGCCATCTCATGAGAAGAGGAGACTCCCTGGAAAAGACCCTGATGTTGGGAAAGTGTGAGGGCAAGAGGAGAAGGGGACGACAGAGGACGAGATGGCTGGACAATGTCACCGAAGCTACCAACATGAATTTGACCCAAGTCTGGGAAGCCACAGAAGACAGGAGGGCCTGGCGTGCTCTGGTCCATGGGGTCACAAAGAGTCAGACACGACTTAACGACTAAACAACAACAAGCATGGAATTGGCCTTCTTCACTGCCACTGCACACTGTGTTGACACTTTCATCATACTGTCCACCAGCACACCAAGATCTCTTTCCTGATCCATCACGGACTGCTCAGAACCCATTAATTAATAAATAAAGTTTTGATTTTTTGCCCCAATGTGCACTACTTTACAGTTTCTTATATTGAAGTACATTTGCCATTTTGTCACCCATTCTCCCAGTTTGGAGAGATCCTTCTGGAGCTCTTCACAATCCCTTCTGGTCTTAGTTTTCAAAGATGCTTTGAAATGTATGCTTAGTTATTTACCAGAAAAGCTGTTACCAAAAGGTGTGATTTTCTGATAACATCCCGGTGTGTTTCACTTTGTAGTCATGCCACCCATGCACTCGCTCTATGGGGTTTCTCTACATGGTCTGCATCAGCAGAAATATAATGTCCAGATCAAGGAAAAGTGATAGTTCTCTCTATTCTGGACCCTCACCTGGAATTCCATGTCCAGTTCTGGGCACCACGGTTTAATAAGGATATTGCAAACCTGGCACACGTCCAGAGGAGGGCAAGTGAAATGGTAAAGGGTTTGGAAATCAAGCCCTATGAGAAACAGCTGAATGAGCTGGAAGATGGTGCATGCTTGTCTTCCCCTGCTGCAGAGGAAGGCCTCCATGTGGTAGATGAAAAATAATAGGAAACCTTATATTTCACTAACCAACAATCCAAAATATCTTCTACCCACAAATGCACTTGCATGGCATTCAAGGTCACAAAATCGTTATTGTACAATCACTGTTTTCTCTTCTCTTCAGCCCACTGAAGTCAACTATTCGAGTTGTTTTGGGACAGCATTTTTTTAATAAAACAACAGATGTTACTCAAGAATTTGATGTAGAGAAGTACATCATGTTTCCTGACTACACAGTATACAACCCTACAGAAAATGATATTGGTGAGAACTTTTCTTATTTCTTATTCTATTTTGCATATGCAGTTTTTTCATTTTCCATTTATTTGGGATAAAATACATTGTCGCACACTATGTGGAAAGGTAAATTCCTACAGACAGCTAACAAAAAAGGGAGTGAAAGCCATTTGGTCTGTAGATGATACTTCTGTTAGACCATTAAAAAAAATCAGTGATGCATGCTAACCTGATGTATAGGCCTTTTTCAGGCTGGCACCTCTTCCCTATGGATGGTGCAGAAAAAACTGCCAAAAAGGACAACTAGATGTCTATGCCATGCCTCAAATGAGGGCTGCACGGTCAGTTTTAAAATCCTCCTCTGGCAATGTTGACTGAATTGCCCCCAACTCACCAGACCTAAAGGCTGCTGGTCACTCAGCCTTCTAGAACAGTGGTCCCCAATCTTTTCCGAAACGCAGACTGGCTGGGGGGCAGGGTCCATGTGTGTGGGGGTATCCCTCCCACTCATAGGTGTGTGGTGCACTCACGCGCATGTGCGGGTAGGCAGGGCACAGTCACAGGTGGGTGTGGCACGCTTGCCTGCATGCATGTTTGGGCGTGGTGCTCTTGCGGGTGGGCAGGGCACCCATGCGGGAGGGCGGGAGGGCTGTGCATGCATGTGGGTGTGCGGGGCGGTGTCAGAGATCTGTCTCCACGGCCCGGTCCTGCCAAGGCCACAGACCAGGGATTGGGGACCTCTGTTCTAGACATTGGTGTAAAAAAAATAAATAAAAATGAAAAATAACATGAATAAAAGCCACTTCCTGACAGATACAATTTGCCAAGTTACCTACAACCCCACCATAACATTTCCATTAAAAGGCATTTTTAATCGGGTAATGTTATCCCTCCTCAGAAAGCAGAGGCTTCTTTCTTCCCCCCCCCAACCCCCCAGTGCCTGTTTCTCATTCATGCACATAGATGGCAACTGCAATATCACACTCCAGAAGGTCAAGGAAAAAATTATTTAACAAGGGTTACAACACATTAAGGCAACCCACGACCCCACAGAAAACACTTCATGGCCCACTTGGTGGTCATGACTCCCGGGATGGGAAATGCTGAGTAAGGCAGAAGTTTCAGTAGCAGATTCTGGCTTTCTTGACTGAGCAGAAAATGATATAATTTAGTTTTTTTTATTATTGTATTTTTACTACCAAAGATGGGGTGATGTGCTGATGAGATGTTCAATGACATAAGCCAGAATAACTTTATTGGTGTGGAGTACTGTGCACCTTTAGTTGGAGGGATATATTTTCCCTTTGGCAGCAAGATGTGTTGGGTCAGCCTTGGCTGCCACACAACATTCATTTATACTGCCCACCTGGACAAGGCCACTCTGAGTATAAATATAATATATTTAAAATACAATTTGTCATAACAAAAGATAAAAACAATAAAATATGAATAATAGCTCAAAGCATAAAATACATTGGGATAAAACATTCAAAACATTTAAAATATTTAAGACATTTAAGATGGTGGACTTGATCAGATAAGCTAGTTAGGCTCAGCTGAGTTCACAGGTCTTTGGATGCTTGCCTAAATAACCAAGTTTTAAATGACTTTTTAGATACTGCCACCAAAGGGGCCAAATAAATTGCAGGGAGGAGTTCAAGACTACTTATTGTTTTTTACTCAAAATACTACTTGTAATTACTTCAAAGCACTTTCTAGTGCTGGATAGATAGACAATCACCCTAGTCCAAAAAGCCTTCCTCCTAGTCACTCAAACTACAGACAATATGGAAAGTTCCAAAAACCTCAACGTTCTATACTTAGAAAACCCTAGAAAGGGTCAACTTGATGGCACATAATTGTTGTTCCTGTCTTCTAAAAGATCCCAGTTTTCTTTGATGCTTTTTCTTTTTTTGGACAGTTGAGGTGGGGAAGATGTGATATATACTCTATATATGAAGCCAGAGTATATCTTCAGGTATTGTTGTTGTTACTTATGCCCTGAAATGTATTCACCATTATTCTGGCATTCTTACTCACGTTAGTTGTCTTCACAAGTTGCATACTTTAGAAGGGCACTTAGGACCAGGACTCTGGCCTAGTCTGCCACGCTGCAAAGTTAATATTACTTTCTCCGTTCATTGTCTGGATGATAACATAGCAGACATTTGCACATCATCCGCCAAACAGGGACATAAATAGTAGGCCTCCTATACTTTGGTGGCATTCCACCCCTCTGATCTTTTTCTTGGCAGATTTTCAGTCTTCTAGAGCAAAATAAGCTGTCTGGGTAGCTCACTGGTTTTGGTATCTGCCTGTGGAGCCAGAGGTTGGGAGTTTGATTCCCTATTGTGCCTCCTGTGAGTAGTGCCAGTCTGTTTGGCCTTGGGCTACCTGTCCCAGGATGCACCCAGAAGAAGGGAATGGCAAACAATTTCTGAGTATTTTTAACCTGGAAATCCCTGAAAAGGATCACCAGAAGTCAGAAGTGACTTGATGGTACATTATTATTATTAACAGAGCAAAACAGATTCTTGAATTGAGGTATCAGAGCAATGCCAAATAAACACATAGTACACTGGAGCTGAAATCCTGTACAGTAACTTATATGTGTATAAGGTTATGATGTCATCAACATAAGTACTTTTTGGAAAATTAAACAATTCCCACTTCAATTCCAAGACTGCTGTGTAGTCCCTTTCATCATCTGAAAACTAGGGGAGCCATGGGACAGAAGGAGGAGATCTTTAATTAACAAAAATTGACACTGTTGGTGGCAGCATTGTTTGGTAATTAAAGACTTCCTTCTGCTGTCCCAGAGCTTCTTGACAATGGAAGAGATTACCTAGGAGCCATGAGAGGCTCAGGACAGAAGTAGGAATTCTTTAATGTCAAAAAAAATTCACTCCTGCTAATGATATCAACAGTCTTACACAGGCATACGTTACAAAACAGGATTTTAGTCAATGTGTATCCAAAGTTATTTAATTCTTGCAGATGTGAACAAAATATTACATTTCTGTCTGCTAGATAATATTAGTAGACGAGTAGACATGGTCTAGAGGGGCGGGGGAAAAATCAAATAAATAAATAAATAAATAAATAAATAAATAAATATTATGAGACCTGTGGTGTTTTTGCCTTTCAAGACTTTATTTCAGAAAAATTCATAGAATTTGTTTATATGTATTTAAGACAAAAAAGACTCCCTTTTTGTTGCAAGTGAGAAGATGTGTGAGTATTCATTACATTCTTAGCACAAAATATATAGCACACCTGAGGTTTATCTCTTAATACATAGCTGTTTCTGTCATTTTGTATTTCTCACTATCTCTCTCTCTTCCTATCTACCCTCTAAGCTTTAGTGAAGCTGAAAAAGACTAAACAGCACTGTGCAGTGAAGTCCCAGTTTGTCCGGCCAATCTGCCTGCCAGAAAATGGAATGTCATTTCCAGATAATTTCAAATGCCAAATTGCAGGATGGGGTCATTTATATGAAAGTAAGTTACATGATGATTGATGTTATGTGTGGCAGCAATGCTGATTAGAGACATAACCAACATTCTTAATGGACATTAGAGTGGTCATAATGAACTCCATCCATCATACAGCTTCCTTCTGCAGCTGATTTGTCAGCAGTCACTTCCATGCCCAGTTGGACTCCTGTTGTGGAAGGGGAGGGGGCTTCACATTAACTTAATTTTTCTGTATGAATCTGTTTTGTTGAAGTGCTCTTCCACTTTTGCCAAAATTAATTCTGCCATTGTGCACCACAGATTTTGCTCCCAGTTTGCTGATTGATCAAAATGACTCATATTCTAAGATACAGGATATTACCAGAGCACAGAGTGCTGTCCTCTGAAGATGCTGGCCACAGAGACTGGCGAAACGTCAGAAAGAACAACCTTCAGAACATGGCCAAAGAGCCCAAAAAACCCACAAAACCATACAGGATATTGTTTACAGAGAATTAAACACTTTTAACTCACCTTTATGTGAGTTAATGTGAAAACATATAATATGTGCATTTGGTTGCCATGATCCGATGACTTTTTCATTTCTTCAAATGTTGTAATGTTCTTTGATTACAAATGGGCAAGCAGTGCACAGAAAGGCAACATGATCATGGTTTGCAAAAATTACATTTATTAGGGGAAAAAGACCAAATTTATGTCCGAACTTTCATGTTACCCTTTTAGGAAAAAAATGCAATATAATGCAAAAACAGTATAGAATAGAATTGTGATTATATGAAATATTATTTTGGTAGAACAGGTGACAAATCTGAGATAACTATGCACAATTAATTACATGGGTGGGGAAATAAATTTTGTGAAGGCAAGATGACCCTCTGCCTCTCTGATATCATTCCATTGCTCTCTCCCAGTCAGACTAGCTAAATTGTAATGTGGTTACCCTCCCATGATAGGAGACCATTTGATAACTTTGCTTACAAATCACCTACATAACAATTGCAAGGGGCAGTTATTTAAGATTCAGCAAAACTACAAGCGAGAAGGATCTTGGAATTTTTGTAGATCACAAGCTAAATGTGAGCCAACAATGTGATGTGGCTACAAAAAAAAAAGGCTAATGCTATTTTAGGCTGCATTAATAGAAGTACAGTTTCCAAATCCTGCGAGGTGCTAGTCCCCCTCTATTCAACGCTGGTCAGGCCTCACCTTGAGTATTATTTCCAGTTCTGAACACCACACTTCAAGAAGGATGCTAACAAATTGGAACAAGTTCAGATGAGGTCCAAAAAAATGATCAGGGGGCTGGAAACCAAGCCTTGTGAGAAAAGGCTGAAAGAATTGGGCATGTTTGAAAAGTGTTATCATATCACCCCTCAAATATTTGAAAAGTGCTATCATATCACCCCTCAGTCTTCTTTTCTCAATGCTAGAGGGGTGATATGATAGCACTTCTCAAATATTTGAAAGGCTATCATACAGGCAAGATCTGTCCTTGATCATCCCAGAGTGAAGGACATGCAACAATGGGCTGAAGTTAAAGGAAGCTAGATTTTGGTTGAATATCAGGAAAAACGTCCTAACTGTTAGAGCAGTACGACAATGGAACCAGTTACCTCAGGAGTTGGTGAGTACTCCAACACTTGGAGGCATTCAAGAAAAACTTGGATAATCACCTGGCAAATATGCTTTGATTGTATTCCTATATTGAGCAGGGAGTTGGACTTGATGGCCTTGTAGGCCCCTTCCAACTTCACTTTTCTATGATTCTTCCATAACCCAAATGTCAGCTATACTACTTGAATTTCTTCAGGGACCATCAAGGAGGCCACTGAGCAGCAAGACCACCTCATAGGCACAGGCATTGGCTGGAACAGGGTTCTGTACAGCTTAGGTGGGGGTCTGGGATACCTTGTCCACATCAGGGCATTCACATTTTATCATGTTGTGGTGGGAAATACCACCAGTTAAGTCACTGGAGATAATATATTCAGTTCGTCTTGGCATTTCCAGGGACCAACAGGGTTGAAAGGATGGGATTTCCAGAGATATGGAGTTCGGAGGAAGGAAGGGGCATTCTCTGGACCCTTTGTAGGGTAGATTACACCATTGGTCTGGAACTTCATCTTCTTTGCACAGGGACTGAAATAAGAGTGGACTTTTCTACTTTTGAGCTCCACTCTCTGCTTCTTGACACTGACATTTTAGAAATAACTGGATTTAGAGCTCATACAATACCACAGATAAATTGATACTTGCTAAAGAGGATGACTGAACACCAAAGAAAAATAGCTATGTGATTAAAAAAAACGCAGGAAGTCAGTATGATCACACATGGGATTATTTAATGGTCTGGTCCACAAAGAACCACTCCTAAGACACAATGCTTTGTTCTGGGCACAACTTTCCACAAAAGGCCTTGACATACTGGAATGGATAGCATGGAAATGTGAAAGATTTTAACTGAAAATGTAGAAGGTCAGCCCTCTGAAAAACCATCAAAAGAATGAGATAATGAATCTATTTTAATAAATGGGGTTGTGGCCAGATTAAGGAGATAGGTTCATTAACAAATTTAACAAAGATGCATTGCCAAGACAGAATGATGTTTACTTGCAGGACAATTTTTTTAATTTTTTTTTTTTTAAACTACTAGGAATGGGGTAGGGAATACAAAAGGTAAAAGGAAGTGTAAGGGATGGGAAAAGGGTTTTGAAGATAGGACAACATAGAGTATACAATCATCCAATCTATTCATATTAAGTATACATGCATCTGGTCTATTCATTTTTCAATGCCAAAAAAACAACTTTATATTCTTTATATATATACACACACTATTTGTTACCCTCTAAATATCATCTTACATTAAATTTAAATCTAAGTTATTCCAACTCTATCAGGAAATCGAGACCAATTATAAAATACATCCCCTCTTTCAATTTCCTTCTGTCTTATATGTGCAATCGGCCTGCCTGGAAAGATCTCCATTTCTAGCACTTCCCATATTTTCCCAGTGCCGTTCTCTTGTTTCTGTAACTCTATTTTCTTCCTGTTTTGGGAAAATAAAATTGAGTGCAGGACAGTAGTCTGATTTTTAACATCACCTTTTCCGGCTATTATAGCTGAGTAGCTCACAGAGTAACTCTTACTCTCATCTATAGTACTTGGCATAGCTCTCGGTGTAAATTGTATTGGAGTTAGGGCCATTTCATTCAACTGTTGTTTTACCTCTGCTGATTTCCCTTTGATAAGATCTTCCACCTGGTTAATGCGCTCATTTACCTGCTGGAATCCTGTTATTATTGTCATTTGTATAGTAACCAGCCATTCATTATCTGGCAAAATTCCCA